CCATGGGCAGATACTTCCCTGGCTTGCTTGTCTGGTGGATGGGGGAAGTGGGCAGCATGGTCCCCTGGGCATCTTGGGGCCTCTGTGAGGCAGGGCCTTGTTCATAGGCCTTGCTCACTGAAGAGAACACTGCCTCAACGTCTGCTTGGCTGACTGATCACCTCTCCCTTGTTTTCTCCACAGCTGGACCAGCCGTCACAGCTGGACTTGCCATCAGAGGCAGCCGCCCGACACCAGGGGAGCTGCAAGCGCTGGAGGGTCCAGGAAGAATTCATAAGGACAGCACATGGCAGTTCTGCGTGACATGCAGCAAGCACTGGCCCAGAAGGTTCGCGATGACGCTGAGTGGTGCAATCGCATGTGGGACCAGCTTATACAGCAGGGCAAAAACATGTGTGCTACCATCCATGAAATGATGCCACACCCAGCTCCTGTCCCTGTCCCCATTCCCCCTTTCTCCACTCCCACTCCCCCTGCCATGTCTGTGTCCCCTCCCCAGACCTCCCTGCCACACCTGACCCCGCTGCAGCCCCCCATCCTGCCCACCCTGCTGCTGTCACCAGCCCCACCCAAACCCGAGGTTTTCGAGGTTCCTGGACCCGAGGTGGCACTTCCAACTGCACCACGTATTTGTATTACAAAAAACAATATACAAAGTTTTTGTTCAATTCAAAACTGGAGTCTTTATTAATGGTACTGGGAAGATATTTTGGCCTTGGAAAGGGTTCAGAAAAGGGCAACTAAAATGATTAGGGGTTTGGAACAGGTCCCATATGAGGAGAGGTTAAAGCGACTGGGACTCTTCAGTTTAGAAAAGAGGAGACTGAAGGGGAATATGATAGAGGTCTATAAAATCATGAGTGGTGTGGAGAGTGCGGATAAAGAAAAGTTATTTATTAGTTCCCATAATAGAAGAACTAGAGGACACCAAATGAAATTAATGGATAGTAGGTTTAAAACTAATAAAAGAAAATTCTTCTTCACACAGCGTGTAGTCAACCTGTGGAACTCCTTGCCAGAGGAGGCTGTGAAGGCTAGGACTATAACAGAGTTTAAAGAGAAGCTAGATAATTTCATGGAGGCTAGGTCCATAAAAGGCTATTAACCAGAGGATAGAATTGGTGTCCCTGGCCTCTGTTTGTCAGAGGCTGGAGAAGGATGGCAGGAGACCAATCGCTTGATCATTGTCTTTGGTCCACCCTCTCTGGGGCCCCTGGTGCTGGCCACTGTCGGTAGACAGGATACTGGGCTGGATGGACCTTGGGTCTGACCCAGTACGGCCATTCTTATGCAACAGGGGAAGGAAGGGGTTGTGGTGGGAAAGGGAGTAGGGGCAAGGCACAAGCTCCCAGTGGGGGGGTCCTGCGGAGAGTTACTGGGCTCCTTCAGAGAACCTCTCCCTCGGGGTCTCCAGGATGCGCACCTCGACCTGATGGGCATGGCGGATGGCAGCTGTCCGGGGCTGTTCAAACAGCCTCCCCTCACCACCAGCCTGTCCCCCACCCCGGGAGGAAGGCCTCCTCTTTGCTCTCCACCGGGTTGTTGAGCACGCAACACGCAGAGACCATCTTGGGGATGTTGCATTCCCCACGTCGAGGTGTGTCAGGAGGCACCTGAACTGGGCCTTGAGGCGTCCGGGGCTGTTCAAACAGCCTCCCCTCACCACCAGCCTGTCCCCCACCCCGGGAGGAAGGCCTCCTCTTTGCTCTCCACCGGGTTGTTGAGCACGCAACACGCAGAGACCATCTTGGGGATGTTGCATTCCCCACGTCGAGGTGTGTCAGGAGGCACCTGAACCGGGCCTTGAGGCGCCCGAAGGTGCATTCCACCTGCATGCGGGCCTGGTTCAGGTGCGTGTTAAATTGTTCCTTGTTTGGGTTCAGGTGGCCAGTGTAGGGCTTCATGAGCTATGGCATCAGTGGGTAGGCCGTGTCGCCTACGATGCAAATTGGCCTCTGTACGTTCCCCATGCAAAAGTCCTGCTGGGGGAAGAATGTCCCAGCCTTCAGCTTGCAGTACAGGCTCAAGTTGCTGAATATGCGGGCATCATGTGCCCGGCCCAAGCTCCTGACATATCAGAACACTGTCCCCGGTGGTCGACAAGGGCCTGCAGCACCATGGAGAAGTAGCCCTTCCTGTTTATATATTGGGCGGCTCGATGCTGTGGTGTGCGTATCAGGATGTGGGTCCCATCGATCACTCCTCCGCAGCATGGGAAGCCAAGGGCAGCAAATCCGGCCATGATTGGGTCCAAGTGTCCGAGGCAGATGACCCTGCACAACAGGACGGAGTTGATGGCCCTCACCACCTGCAGCAGGAGACATAGAAACACACAAAACATAGAATGAGAGGGGGTGCCAGAGCCCATGGGAGGTGCCTGTTCTCTTCCTCTCCCCCCCACCCCAAACACCCCAGGAGCCACCCTCTATGAGGCCGCCCCGCCCAGTAGCAGGGCTGTGAGGGCGGGATGGCACAACACACCCCAGGGACGGGCCC